ATTTGACAGAAAATTCATTCAAAATAATATTTAAATTTAAATACACAATATGCCAATACCCTTTTAGATTTTAGTCATCCTAAAAAAGAAAATGAACGCATTAGAGGAACTCAGACTTCTGTAATAGTTTTAAAGTATCTGCCTATAAAATTTAGCTCTTGACCAATTAAGGGTAATAACTTTTTCTCAAAGTAGGAAATATTAATGTTACCTGAAAAAATGGTATCATTGCACACTTTACTCATCTTCTCTTTCAAGATGAGCTTCTATTCTTTCAACAGCCATATTGTGGATTGAACATAAAGGTAAACTTCTATAGATTCAAGAGCCACATTTAGGGTTGAATATAGGGTAGAAAAATCAGCACAATTTTGAGTTTTATAATAAATTAAATAATTTAAAAACATAAAATACTACTTAACTTGATACGTACCTTTTTATTCATATGACAACAAATTCTAAATGGATCTCTGAATTTATTTTTTAACTGGTACATATAAAAGAATTGGGAAGACAACACAAGAGAAAGCAATCACATAAGAAATAAAAAGTAGATGCTTGAGTATGAAGTATGAACAAGCTATAGTAAGACAAGAGTCAAGACACCTGGATTACAATCCCGACTAGGTCATTAAAATGGGGTGTTACTTTGAATATGCCACTTTACTTCTTTAAGGCTCAATTTCTTTTCTGGAAAAATAAAGGGGTTATAATTACTTTAAAATTGTGATTTAATGAGTCTGTGCTTTAGAATAAAATGACAAGGAGTAGATTTTAGTTGTGTTAGAGCATTTTCATTTAAAAAAGGAATTATTGAGACTTGTGTAAGAGAACTAAGGAAGACAGCACTTGGACTAACCAACATTATCTCCATTTAAACTGATTTCAAAAATTACTCCAGTTTTTGCTAAGAAAGAAAGTTAATCATTACCTAAATAATTATGCTAACTTGGAATTTGAGAGATAAAAAGGACCTTGGAGGTATAATCTTCCTTATATTAATAAATGTCATACGAAAAAATGTCTGGTATAGTATCTAGAACTTAGGGGGTACCCAACAAATGGAGCTATTATTTCTATTTGTTTTGGCATAGCACTCATTTAAGTCACTATAACTTTTCAGTCATTATTTTTTTTATCTTTAGGATTATTTTCCCCACACAGCTTCATATAATCAGATAAGGTGGTAATCATTCCTTCTATATGAAAATTAGTAATAGAATGGGACATGGGCCAGGACAGACTATGAGATCCAGCTAGAAATCTATGTTCAGCATGAAACAGAATCATAATAAAATAGAATTAATATTCTTTAGAAAAGGTTAATCATGTAGTTTCATATTTATCACACAATGCTAGCATGTGGATAATATTTTATTCATAAGGATATCATAAAAATTTGATTCTTTGTTAACAAAGATACAGTATTTTAGGACTATTTTTATATAAAATTAAAAGAACAAAAGCTTTGCAAAATTTTTATAAAATATAATGAGAAAATAAATTAATAACTGCTTATTTTCTAAGTGATTTATGGAAATTGCTAACAGTATAAAAATTATTGATTTTGAAAATGTTGGTTATTAATATTTAACAAAAATTTATCATAAGGTGTATACAGACCAAATTACTATATGTGCATTACATGCATGTAGCTTTCTTCGTGGATACTGCAACTGCATTATATTCTGCTACGTTTTTTGCTGTTAAACTCACAAAACTAAAGCTATTTCTTTTTTTTTTCCTCGCTGAATTCAGCGTTTTATTTTTTTTTAATTTCAGGATATTATGGGGGTACAAACATTTTGGTTACAAGTAATGACTTTGCCTCACCCAAGCCAGGGCTACAGGCGTGCCCCTCCCCCATACAGTGCACACTGCATCCATTAGTTATGAGTTTACCGCCGCCCCCCACCTGACCGACCCCTAAAGTTATTTCTTTATAGGCTGCTCTTCTTATACATGAACAAGAAAGTCATTGTCAGGATCATTCACCTAATTTAGTTGTCAATCAGGAAATAAACTATGAAGCTAGGCTTTGGGTAGATGGACTAGGGTACTTCACAGTTTGCTCTAGTTATCTTTCCGTTGAATTTGGTCTTTTAGAAAAGTAGACTTTCAGGCACTGTATATCATGCATACATGTATACCAAGACGGCATCCATGATCTGGTGCTAAAACAGAACTTAACATGAGCCATCTTTTTTCCAAATTACAATGTCAATAGAACAAGGCCATAACCAGACTATCTAGCTATTAATCACGTAATGGATTTGTTTTTGAATCCTTGTAGTCTTGGTAAATTATATTAAAAGGTAAGATAGCACGGTGTTTAAGAGGACAGAGAGTGGAGTTGGGCTACGTGGGTGTAAATCCTGCTCTGTCATTTGCTAGTGGTGTAACCAATAGATATATTACTTATACTCAGCTTCCCCATCTGTAAAACAGAAATTGATAGTAACTAGCTCACTGAGATTATTGAATGGATTAAATGAGAAAAATCATTTATAAAGGGCTGAAACAATGCCAGAAAAATTATAAAGACTACATTAAAAAAAATTATTGTTATCATCTCAGCTATCTCAGCTGTACTGTCAGGCAGTTACAAAAACAAAGGGGGGCGCTGATTTGCCATGCTTGGGTTAACTCTTTAAGGGTGAATGGCATCTTGTACCACTCACTCACAACACACACACACACTCTGACACCAGCAGCAGTTCCTCTCAAAGAATAGGTAAAACAACTTAGGGACAAAGTTTCAGAGCTCAGCTATTCAGTCAACTTTCCACTCGAGGTGGTTCTTACCAGGGCCAATCTTGGAGGTTCTAGGCTTGATTCCTGTGCTTTCTCTTATGAGGCCACTGCATAACTACCTAAAGCTGAACTCATAAATGCTTGTAAATTGAGGTGGCAAGAGGGGGTAATTTATGAGCTTCAGGATCCATTATAGCAAGTATGAGTTGGGATGATGGAGTACACGGTGAGTTCAGAATGCTCAAGGAGTCCTAGTACTTTTGACACCACAGCTTCACACAGAAAACACCAGAGTTAACAGAGAGGTCCCTTAGGAGGTCTATGAGTTTTCTGCCAACGTTTCGTTGACATTTTATGTTTGTCAATAGCATTTTTTAAGCTAATTCTTATTATAAAACTAGATACTAATGTCGGGAGATAAACTGCTGTGCTGTTTTTCCAACTACAAAAACTTCATAGTCTAAAATTGGTCAGTCTCCCTCTGAAAGAAGAAAAGTTAAGACATTAACTTTCCTTCTATATACCCAAATCTTGTGATTAAAAAAGTACACTGAAAGATTCCAACTGAAACAATCATGATTACATATAAGATCAGGAATATATCCATGGTTCTCGAAGGTTAAAAATAACTATGCAAAACTGTGTACCAACATAATTTTGAAAAGCTGAATAAAGTTAACATATTTCCAAAAATATATAACTATAAAAATCATCATGACAGAAAGTAAAACCCATCAATAACATAAAAAGAAAGCAATGTTTTATCAAAGAAATATCCTTCCAATAACATTATCAGCCCTAATAAATTTGTTAATGAATTCTTTCAATTAGCCAAGTTTGAATATTTCATGTTACAGTCTATTTAAAACACAGGAAAAAAATGAGAAGCTAGTCAATACATTTCGTAAAGCAAATATAACCCCAGGACTAAACATCAAACAGAGAAATTATTCTAAAAAATTTAATTATGTATAAAGTCCCTTTCATGCCAGGTAAAATTCCTGGGTAATTTAATTCTAAAAGTTGTTCAGTAAAATGTATGTAGGAAAGACCTTTCTAACTTTTCACACTATATGGCAGCTTAAAAGAACCTCTAACATAATATTAAGACAGCACGTACTATAAAGGAAATTGGTTGAAAAGTATTATGCCATAGTGCTAGTACATAATTAGAGTGATTTAACTATTACCAACAGATTCACTAAAAAACATAAATAAAGAGATAAATAATTGATTCTCTATAAATGAAGAGCCCTTTGCCCAAGAATAAACCACCTTATTTAAAAAATGACCAGAGGGGCTACAGTCAGCCACCAATAATACGACTAAACAGGGTTCAATTTACAAAATGCAGACAACATAGATGTTACTTGTAAGAATTTTTGGAAATTTAATCATATATTAAACATTATCAGTTGAGGTAAAGCTATTCCAGCTGCCTATAAATTCATCTAATTTAATTGAACTTAAGGAATAATAAGGTAGGAATTTGGGGGAAAAATAAATAATTGTATAATAGAAATTTTAAATTTATTCTTTTTCTAAAACAGTGTTTTTCAAGCCTTTAAAAATCTTTGGAGAACCTTCAAATTTTTGTGGCCATAAAGCCCTAATTTGATTATGCTCCCAAAGTTTGATTATACATTTTGTTCCCCAATTCTAAACTTTGAGAACCCTGGACAGAATAATTCATTTTGAAGTATATCTACAAAAACAATCAGAAGGAGTAATATATTTTTTACTTTTGGTGGGGAAAGGGGGAATCCTAGAAAATTCCCATTTAACCCAAGGGCAGTACAGATTACAGAATAAAAGAGTCAATCTTTTAGAAAACCATTTCCTTGAAAAATAGGTTCTTGAAAATGTGAGGGAGATGGAGTAAAAGTAGAAAAAAATACAAATAAAACTATAAATGAACAAAACTATTTCAAAACTTAACTTTGCAGTATAAAATTGTGCTATTTATGGTATAAATTGAACCCTGCTTTATTTTAAAATAAAGCAAAAATAAAATTAACAGAACAATTCATACTGTAAGTCAGAGAAAGAAATGCAACCCAATTTAACTGATTTTTAATAATTATTGCCCCAATGAGTTTAGAAAAGATACAGCCCAAGAGATTATTGTTTAGCATAGGAACAAATTAATATATACAAAATGCAATGCATTGGGATAATTTTCTGGTGTTGGGTTAGCATTGCATATAGCAAGGATTAGAAACAAAATAGAAATTTCTATTTCGTACCTATGTCACTGGCTACCATCTTGGAAAACTTTCTGCTTTTGGTCTTCACTGAAAATAATATTTTGATATAAAATGTCAAAATCTATTCAAATTAAACTAAATAAATTAAACATAAATAAAAGAAAATACTTTAAAATAAAGATACTATACCCTTTTCTATAAAATTATTCATTTTTTGTTCATCATCTGAATTGTGTGGTGATGAAGAACCTACACAAATGAAGACAACAGAAGGAATAGGCACATAGTCAGTCACAAACGCTGAGTCATAATAAAACAAAAGGCCAAAGAAAAATCTGGTAACCTCTAAAGCAAGTTCTCACATTACTGACCATAAGGAGAGGCCATGTATACAATTAATAGCAATTCTTGTAATACTACACTATAGCAATCACTAGTGCAATATCTTTCATGGTAGATTCTAGTGTATGTAAATATTAACTCTATAATCATTTTCCCTTATGTCGTAACAGTTTGGTAAAATATTGGTATATATCACATGCCAGAGAACATATAAAGAAAAATGAAAGTAGCAATTTACTGTTTCTTAAAATTCAGAAATTCGTGATATCAGTTAACTGAATAAGGGTTCTCTAAGCAGCATTAAGAATCAAGTACCATGTGGGTAAATTTTGGTATTTTACAGTTAGACTGACAGTTTAAAACCATGTATCTATTCTACTATATAAATGTACAATAGGGATCTTTAAAATAGTGAGGATAATACTTATATTTTTAAATATGTTCAAATTTTTACTTAAATGTACTGAGGTAAGAAATATTTACCTTTGGCTGTGACTCCTCCTAATGTTATCATATAATCTTACCTATCATTTCTATAATTAAGATTTTATTTGTCCTTTTTCTTTAAAAATGTTTCTAATTTCTCACAGTATTTAATTTGTAACATAAGCTTTTATTATAAATGCAATTCTAAATTGTATTATGACTGATAACTTTTAGAGACCTATTCTTTATAAGCTCATCTCAAATGATATGTCATCAATTAAATTTTCAACAATCTCCCCAGCTGTAAATCACTTCCTCTCCTTTGAATTCTCGTAACACTTTATCTATATATTTCTCACATGATGTTAATCATTTAATACTTTATTATTTTGAATTTACATACACATGACCTTCCCCACTGAATGAACTTCTAAAAGCAGGGCCCACATTTGATTCATTTTTGTATCTCTTTTATGATCAGAGCAGTGCTTTACATGTAGGCATCTCTAAGTAAGTATTTGCTGAATGCATAAAGCTTTTCTGCTAGAACCAAATACCTAGAACATAATAGGAAGTAAATAAAAAGATTTCCTTTCTGTGTTTAAAAAAATCCCAATATAAGTACTGAATCTTAATGAATTAGGTCAAAATTTGACAGCCCATACACTCCTCACAAAAAAATTATACTTTCTTTCTTTGGCCAAGTGGCCAAAATTCTCTGACCAAGTAAAACCTGCCAATGTTGGCAGGACCCAGTTACTTCTATAGTGGTCTTAAAAGATTACTCTTTAAAAATCCATGTTATTTTTGCTAAATAGCATTTATAGATCCCCATAAATCCCATATCAAAAAAAAAAATATCACACCGGTAGCACTGAGCTTAGTAACATTTCCAGGAACAGAAATAGGTAAATGTGTTTTTCATATAAATATAATTCAGATTTAAAGAATATAATGGTTATATGTTATATATTTTAAAATATCACTGTCATCTGTGACAGCCACATAAATGTATGAAAATGTCTTATTAATACTAGTTTTAGTTGATGTAATTCATATAAGAGCAATAGCACAATGACATATCTATACGTAATAAAATTATAAAAATGTTGGTATTTTTGAAATAAAAGTAGTCAACATAGGCTGTAAATATAAATAAAACAAGCAGATTTATTTTTCTCCTAACTGAAAATGCCTGCCAGTGATTATTGTAACTTCATGATAGCTCATGAAAAAGCTCCAAAACAGTTTTCAGCATATCCTATTTGGATATATTTACTAAGTTTCTACAATTATATAAACATAGACAATATCTATAGCTTATTGTTTCTTCTAGGTAAGGCTCATAGCAATTCTTGAAGGCACCATTTATATCATAGTATCTGTGGGCCTGGGTTTCTTTAGTTTGAAATAACTAACAAATGTTTTCTTTTTAATCATTTCAACATTTTATATATACAAATGTATGTGTATGTAT